TCTCTCTGTCTCTCTCTCTCTCTCTCTCTCTCTGTCCCTTCCCCACTCATGCTCTCTCTCTCTCAATAATAAATAAAACATTAAAAATTAAAAAAAAAAAGACTAATACTGGATGTGAACCTTTGGCCCCAAGAAATTAGGACACCAAGCCATCTATGGGCACACCAAGCCCATCTGTGAGCACTCCAAGCCAATTCCCAATGAGCTAAAGTCTTACCAGGTGGGGAGTCTTGTGGCAGTCACAAAATGAGTCCCTCTTCCCAGATAGGCCTCAGACCTCCTGACAGTACCTGCACCCAGAGGTCAAGAAAGTTGTGGTTAGGCGTTGATATGCTGATATCCATCCTGCTGTAGTCTTGGCATTGAGTTGAATTGCCTCTATTAGTATCAGAGACTATCCCTTGTAGGAAGCTTCTTTAGCGCATTTTTTTATTAGCCCAGTCACCCTTTCAATTAGGCCATACAGCAGTGCATGGCAGGTGGAATGTTCATAATATATCCTAGGCCTCTGCCCATTCTTGGACCTCATGACTGGTAAAATATGTCCCTTGATCACTACCTATCTGAGTCAGAGCTCATACATGCCCTCTAGTTTTATTAATCCCTTTATAGTTGCAGCTTGATTAGCTCTTTTATGGGCAAAAGCTCATACAAGTCCTGAATATGTGTCCACACAGGTTAGTGCATGTTTTCTTCTGATACTGGCAAAGGGCCTATATTGTCTATGTCCCAGTGAGAAACTGGGCAGCAGTCCACTCAATATGTCCCAGGATGTGGCACAACAGTGGTCACCTGAGGTTGCACTGGGGGCAGTCCTTGTCAGCAGCTTGTCAATTGGAATGTTTTTTAAAATGTTTATTTATTTATTTTGTGGGCAAGAATGGATGAGCAGGGGAGGGGCAGACAGAGGGAGAGAGAGAATCCCAGGCAGGCTCTGCACTGTCAGCACAGAGCCCATCATAGGGCTTGAACTTATGAACCCTGCGATCATGACCTGAACTGGAATCAAGAGTTGGGTGCTTAACTGACAGAGCCACCCAGGCACTCCTCAACTGGAATATTTTAAAGATAAATGTAATCTTTTTACTATTTCCTGAGTAGTTTGGAACTTCAGTGTCCTGACTTATAGTTGACCCATTCAAGATTTCTTCTGGCAGAACGGCTCATGCCCAGGCTAGAGTGTCTGCCTCATGATTGCCTGGATGGGGAATGAGCAGACATGAGCCATACTTGGATGAGTGCATCAGGCTTAGTGCATATTTCACAAATAACTTTCCTTAGTTCTGCTCCCCACAGGGGTGTATTTGATAAATCCCAGCCTCCTTTTTCCACTGCAACTTCTATGTTGTTAATACTTACCACACTGCCTAGCTGTCAGTGGCCAAATGGATGGGTAAGGGCTCATGCATCAACACAATCCATACTGCTTTCAATTCTGCCCACTCACTACTTTGTTTAGTTCCTTCTTTGAACAAAAGTACATCAGAATGCAGTCAAATGCCAGAGGAATGCCAAATAGGCTAGTTTCTCTGGCAACTGCCACCAGTGTACTATGTGTCCACTGGAGGCAAGCCTACCCTTTCCTTTACTTGGGGAATGGGAGGCATAATGTCCTCAAATTATGGAAATTGGGCAGGTGGATGTGAGTGACTGGCAGTAGTAACCAGTGTAGTTCATGAGATAGCATGCCATTTCTGTAAGGTGCTTACCTGGGCACAAGCACTCTTAGGTTTGTTTAACATATCCTTAATCCATCCTCCTGCTGGCAGAGAAGTTCGTATCAACATGGGAAGGTTGGCAATCAGGCCCATCTGCTGCAGTTGAGATATACAGCTGATAGTTATTTCTCAATGGGACTACATACCTGGTTCCTGCTGTCTTCCATAATTGAGACCAGAATGTGTCTCCCATTTTGTCATTGTCGCAGCCCCAGCCAAACCCTTGTGGATGTGAATTTGCTGCTAATCCACAACTCATATCTGGCATTAATACTTCCAGAGCCTGTACTTGTTTTACTACCATTTTTGCCTTTAAGAAAGCCTCTTGTTGGTTAGCATCCCATTCCCATTGGCTCCTCCTCTTAATCCAGGTATCTGTACTAGATGGAGCATAAAAGGTCTCCAGCAAACCAATAAACCAACAAAAGCCTGTAATCCCATTACTGTTTTAGGAATCAGGAAGGCTTCTATTTTATCAGTGCCTGCCTATGGCATCACTTTTGTCTTACCCAACCAGATGACTATGGTCAAGGACTATGCTGATTGATCTGGCCCTGGGATCTTCTTGGTATTTACCTCCTATCCTCAAAGTGAACTTGAGTACTCCTCTAATGATGAACCTACTTGAGACAAGGAGGCTGAATCACCACAAATTAACATAACATCATCTAGGTAATGAGAAGGTACCATCTCCTCTGGCAATATCCATATTTCCAAATCTCTGGCTACCATCCTGTGGCAAATTGTGGGACTATGGAGATACTCTTGGGCAATGCCTGGAAGGTCCACTGTCACCCCCTTCATGTGAAGGTGTATTGGTCTTGGGTTTCAAGTCCTAATGGAATGCTAAGAAAAGCATTAGACAAATCCAGTACATAATGATATGTCTTAAAGTGTGCCGTAATTTTTTTCTAACAAAAGGCCGTATTAGGATGGGCAGAGTAATTTTATTGAGTTCCATATAATCTCATCATTCCCCAGGTCCCAATTAGATTTCTTTATAAGCCAACCCAGACTATTGTACGGGCTTTGAGCAGGACTGATTATCCCCACCTTTTCTAATTCTCTAATTGTGGCCATAATCTTGCTGTGCCCCCTTAAGTGGCTTACGGTGTTTAATGTTTATTACTCTCCGGGAATGGTAGCTGTATAGATAAATTCCCATTTTGCTTGACCTATAACTGTGGGTTTCACTACTCAAATATGCTGCTATAAACATTGGGGTGCAAGTACCCCTTCAAATCAGCATTTTTGTATCTTTTGGATAAATACCTAGTAGTGCAATTGCTGGGTTGCAGGGTAGTCAGAGTGGCTGTACCAATTTGCATTCCCACCAGCAGTGCAAAAGGGTTCCCCTTTCTCTGCATCCTTGCCAACATCTGTTGTTTCCTGAGTTATTACTTTTAGCCTTTCTGACAGGTGGGAGGTGGTATCTCATTGTGGTTTGGGTTTGTATTTCCCTGGTTAGGAGTTATGTTGAGCATCTTTTCTTGTGTCTGTTAGCTATCTGGATGTCTTCTTTGTAAAAGTGTCTATTCATGTCTTCTACCCATTTCTTCACTGGATTATTTGTTTAGGGGGTGTTGAGTTTGGAGAATAACCTTATTTTTATAGACTTTGGATAATAACCCTATTTTTGTGTATGGTGTAAGAAAATGGTCCAGTTTCATTCTTTTGCATATAGCTGTCCAGTTTTCCCAACACCATTTGTTGAGAAGACTGTCTTTTTCTCATTGAATATTCTTTTTTTTTTTAAATTAATTAATTTATTTTTTTTTATTTAAAAAAAATTTTTTTTAACATTTATTTATTTTTGAGACAGAGAGAGACAGAGCATGAACAGGGGAGGGGCAGAGAGAGAGGGAGACACAGAATCTGAAACAGGCTCCAGGCTCTGAGCTGTCAGCACAGAGCCCGACGCGGGGCTTGAACTCACGGACCGTGAGATCATGACCTGAGCCGAAGTCGGACGCTTAACCGACCGAGCCACCCAGGTGCTTACGCTTATTTGTTTTTGAGAGACAGAGAGAGACAGAGTATGAGCAGGGGAGGGGCAGAGAGAGAGAGAGAGGGAGACACAGAATTCGAAGCAGGCTCCAGGCTCTGAGCTGTCAACATAGAGCCAGAAGTGGGGCTCGACCCCACAAACCGCGAGATCATGACCCGAGCTGAAGTTGGATGCTTAACCAATGGAGCCACCCAGGCACCCAAATATTCTTTTTAAAAAAATATTTATTTATTTTTGAGAGTGACAGAGCGAGGGAGAGGCAAAGAGAGAGGGGGAGACAGATTATCCAAAGCAGCCTCTGTGCTGACAGCAGCAAGCCCGATGTAGGGATCAAACTCACATACTGTGAAATCATGACCTGAGCTGAAATCAGGAGTCAGATGCTTAAGCAACTGAGCCACCCAGGGGGCTCTGCATTGAATATTTCCTGCTTTGTCAAAAATTAATTGACCATATAATTGTGGATTTATTTTTCAGTTTTCTATTATATTCTATTGATCTATGTGTCTATTTTTGTACTAGTACCATATTGTTTTGATTACTACACCTTTGTAATATAACTAAGTTGTGATCATGCAGTTTTCTTTTCTTTTTTAAAGAAAAAGCTATTTGGGGTCTTTTGTGGTTGCATATAAATTTTAGGATTTTTTTGTTGTACTTCTATGAAAAATGCTGGTGGTATTTTGATAGGGATTGCATTAAATGTGTAGATTGCTTTGGATAATACAGACGTTTTAACAATATTTGTTCTTGCAATCCATGAGCATGGAATGTCTTTCCATTTCTTTGTGTCATCTTCAATTTCTTTCCTCAGTGTTTTATTAAATATTTTTTAGTGTTTATTATTTTTGAGAGAGAGAGAGACAAAGAGAGAGTGTGAGTGTGGGAGGGACAGAGAGAGAAGGAGAAGGACAGAGGACCAGAAGCAGTATCCAGGCTCTGAGCTGTCATAACAGCACCTGATGCGGGGCTTGAACCCATGAACTGTGAGATCATGACCTGAGCCAAAGTCAGATGCTTAACCAACTGAGCCACCCAGGTACTCCAGTCTTTCATTGGTGTTTTATAATTTATAGAGTACAAGTCTTTCACTTCTTTGGTTAGGTTTATTCCTAGATATCTTATTATTTTTGGTGCAATTATGAATAGGATTGTTTTCTTAGTTCTCTTTCTGCTACTTCATTATTAGCATATAGAAATACAACAGATTTCTGTACATTGATTTTTTATCCTATGACCTTACTAAATTCATTTATCAGTTCTACTAGATTTTTGGTGGAGTTTTTAGGGTTTTCTGTATATACTATCATGTCATCTGCAAATAGTGAAAGTGTTACTTCTTTCTTAACAATTTGGATACCTTTTATTTATTCTTGTTGTCTAATTGCTGTGGCTATGACTTCTAGTACTATGTTGAATAAAAGTGGTAAGAGTGGACATCCTTGTCTTGTTCCTGACCTTAGGGGGAAAGCTCTCAGTTTTGCCCTATTGACTCTGATATTCACTATGGGTTTTTCATACATGGCCTTTATTATGTTGAGGTATGTTTCCTCTAAGCCTACCATCTTTAGGTCATTTATCATGAATGGATTTTGTACTTTGTCAAATGCTTTTTCTGCATCTACTGAAATGATCATATGGTTTTTATCTTTTCTCTTATGGCTGTGATGAATCATGTTGATTGATTTATGAACATTGAACCACCTTTGCATCTCAGGAATAAGTCCCACTTGATCGTGCTGAATGATTTTTTAACTTATTGTTGGATTCTGTTTACTTAGTATTTTCTTAAGGATTTTTGCATCATTTTCTTAAGGATTATATCTGCATCAGATATATTGGCCTGTGGTTCTCTTTATTTGTGGTGTCTTTATGGGTGATACTGGCTTCATAAAATAAATTTGGAAGCTTTCCTTTTTCCTCTATTTTTTGGAATAGTTTGAATAGAATAATTATTCATTCTTCTTTGTATGCTTGTAGAATTTGCCTGTGAAGCCATCTGGTCCTGGACTTTTGTTTGTTAGGAGTTTTTTTTATTCTGATTCCATCTCCTTGCTGGTAATCAGTCTGTTCAAATTTTCTATTTCTTCCTGCTTCAGTTTTTGTTGGTTATATATTTCTAGGAATTTACCCATTTCTTCTAGTTTGTCTAATTTGTTGGCATATTGTGTTTCATAATATTCTCTTATGATTGTTTGTATTTCTGTGGTGTTGGTTGTTATTTCTCTTCTTTCATTGGTGATTTTATTTATTTGAGTTCTTTCTCTTCTATTTTTTTTTGTCTTTCTCTTCTTTTTTTGATGAGTCTGGGTAGAGCTTTGTCAATTTTGTTGATCTTTTCAGAGTCAGCTCCATGTTTTTGTTCATCTGTTCTATTGTTTTGTTTTGTTTTGTTTTGTTTTGTTTTAGTTTCTATATCACTTGTTTCTGCTCTGATCTTTATTATTTCCTTCCTTCTGCTAGTTTTGTGTTTTATTTTATAGGTCCTTTACATGTAAGGTTAGGTTGTTTGAGCTTTTTCTTTTTTTATTTTTTTAATATTTTTTTTAAGTTTATTTATATTGAGAGAGAGTATGCACAGGAACGGCAGAGATTGGATGAGAGAGGCAGACAGGGAGGGAGAGAGAGAGAATCCCAAGCAGGTTCTGAACTGTCAGTGCAAGGAGCCTGAAACTGGTGAGTTCATGACCTGAGCAGAAATCAAGAGTCAGATACCCAAATGACTGAGCTACCCAGGCGCCCCTGTTTGAGATTTTTCTTGCTTCTTGAGTAGGCCTGTATTGCTATAAACATCTCTCCTAAAACTGCTTTTGCTGCATCCCAGAGGTTTTGGACTTTTGTGTTTTCATTTTCATTTGTTTCCATGTACTTTCCAGTTTCTTCTTTGATTTCTTGGTTGACCCACTCACTGTTTAGTAGCATGTTATTTAAAATTTTTTAAATATTTATTTGTTTAAAAAATGTTTTTAATGTTTATTTATTTTTGAGAGAGAGAGAGAAAGACAGAGCATGAGAGGGGGAGAGACAGAGAGAGAGGGAGACACAGAATCTGAAGCAGGCTCCAGGCTCCAAACTGTCAGCACCAAGCCTGACACAGGGCTCAAACTCATGAACTGTGAGATCATGACCTGAGTCGATGTCGGATGCTCAACCAACTGAACCACTCAGGAGCCCCAGTAGCACGTTATTTAAT